CTCGTAATTACTTTATAATACTCATAGTTAAGCACGTAATTAGAAGAGATAATCATGTCGCATAACTGGATACATAACTTTGGTTCTACCGGTTTACTAAACAAGTCAATTCATATTGTATTATATATCGTAGCCTAACTTAGGAATGATTACTTCATTATGTCCGGACATTTCAAATCATAATTGTATTCCGTGATATACTCGATAAAGTAGGTAGTCAACTAAAACCACCAGCTAAATTAGACTGTATCGTTTGAAATTCAGATTTGGCCATCCACATCATTAATGCTGATTTCTAAATAAATAATATTAACCCACCAATTCTTACTGTGATGGATCATGGCCCAATCTCCCTATTCCATCCATAGGGAAAGCCTGTGCCCCATCAGTGTGGACATATTAATGTCCTATACAGGCTGATGATGATAGGTAAGTATATTGCGAATGTCAGTAAAAAGCTGTAATTTTACTTCCTGATTGCACATTGTGAATAGCTTTTAAAACTGAATAATTCGTCCACGCCATCATGATTCATCACAAAATCAAAACGATATCAGCGCCCCTGACCGTAGCTGATGCTCAGTGCCGTTTTTGACCTATTGGAGGCCCTGGGCATATTAGGATAATGGGGCCCCTATGACTTCTGTTTGGTGATTTCGAAGGAACTAGGCACTTTATATTTGATCTGAGGGGGCCCCCTATCGATCGCGGGGCCCTTGGGCACTTGCCCAAAGTGCCCACTGGGAAAGACGGGTCTGCTGATGCTAATGCAACTATATTAAGATTCGATCACTGTTCTTGTAGTTGTTCATATTGTCAACGTGAATAGTAATAAAACATTGTCATCTTTTAAGCAAAGAATTTGGCTCCTATCTTCTGTAATCGGGATAATTTCCCCACTAACGCTTAAATTCAAGCGGAAATACCGATTTGGCTACCATTTTTATTTACAAATATTAGACGCAACACAACTATCGCCAAATAAGGCATACAATAAAATTTAATACTCATAATAAACGTTATCGTTCAAATAATTACGCTTATCGTTCAATATAGACGACGTTTGAAAACAGCAGCATTGATCACGACAAAGAATTCTTTAATTAAAAATTTAATTCTTTGAACACATGTCGTTTCCTTAATTCACAGTGTGCTCACGACTGAAGCGGTCATAAGTCGTATATACATATATATATGTGTGTACAATATATATATGTATGTATATATACATATTTCATTTACTAGCTTTAAGAGGAAGAGGGAAAGAAAATGTGCGCGCGCACTGCTTTCTCTAGCGTATATCCCTCACTCAACTCCCGTTCGCCTCGCCCGAACACACTTTTCGTATCGCGTAACGCATTCGCCAGCTTACCCCCCAAGTCAAGCGTGCGTAAAGAAGTTTCACTTCAAAAAAAAAACTGGAACTCTTTATTAACGTTAAATAAACGGGCGTTCAATAATAAAACACATGTATCGCAGGAGTGGCCAAGACATGCCATATGGTGGCACACGACGCGACATAAATACATAGTGATTAAAAGTCATATGTTACTTGTGAAATATAGAAAAACAACAGTTGGTTACCGCAACTTGTGCTCATTCCGCTAATTTTAAACTACAAACCGCTTTTAGAGTTATTTGGATAATAAAAAAAACTCGTTTCGTTTGAGAAAAAAAAATTAATAATTGGTTTCGACTGTATTTATCAGTTTTAAAAAACGTTGAATATATAGATTGTGGTAATCAGATTTAGAGTTTATATTGTACACTGACCCAAAAACGTGAGTAAGAACTCAAATCTAAATATTTAATATGAAATAATTTAATATAAACTTATTTATTGAGAGGGTGTATTATGGATAATCGTCGCTTCACCTGGCATCGAAGAGACAATATTATAGATAGTAGATAATATTAACTTAAATTTCAAAGAACGAAATAGAAATGATTCATGAGAACAGATTGTAATTAATTTTAATAAAAAGCACGAATAATTAAAATCTCCGTTCTCCTTTCCATAATGTCAATAATGTATCAACTGGCAAACATAACTTGGAACATAACTGACGCAAAAAAAACAAGAAAGAATTACCTAAATAACAATTAAAAAAAGTAAACATGGATAAGTGTATATAAAAAAATAAGCGGAATCGGTCGATAATAATCGCGACCAGGGGGCCAATCGACTAACGGGTTGCTATGGCTATCGCTTAGGTTTATCTATTTTTATTTTTCAAATGCCCCGCGCTCTTTTTCATTCTTTTGTATTGGTAACAACGATATCAAAGAAAACGAGCGTTAAGGTATTTGAAAACCTTCGGCGGTCAGAAATAACAAAATGAAAACGTAAGCGATAGCGATAGCCATAGCAATCCATATTAACGAATTCTACATTATGTGAACATGCAAAATATACAAACACTCAATATTTACGTAATATTAACAAATTTTATTCAAAATATGGAAAATAGGTATAGATTGCTCGCCTGAGATGCGACGTTAAATAGGCATTATGTTTTGCCTGACATAAAATCTCTCTAGAATATTATATTTTTATTTTTAAGCATTTAACTGCTAGACGTTTAAATCTAAAGATTATTTTACTAGAAAAAAAAACAATCTGTCTAGATTTCAAACCCGCATCTACCGCAATCTTATAACTCTCTACCAAGTAGTTGTAGTTCGACAACATCTACGAACTCCATAGAAATGACTGTTTCTGTATTCTGTGACGAAAAAAATCGATCATGGGGCATGTCATTCAGAATCTACTCCTTAGGTTGACAAAAGAGTTTTTTTGGCTAAATTCCACCCTCAATGAGGATATAGGGATTGTTCAGAGTGTTCTGAGCAACCCCGAATCTGAAGCCGTCTTGTACTTGTGTAGTTTAGTGGAATGCTGCCTGTAAATTACGCAAGTACGAAATCTAATGTAATAATTGTATAATTCTAATTTATTAAGGGATAGTATAAATAAGTAACATGGCAAATATTAAACTAAAACTATACTAAAACTATACAAATATTAAAAATATTAAAAAAATAGCTGCCCTAGGTCTTCCCCGTCGGCAAAGGTTCCCAGGACACTGGCGGCATTTCCCCGCTGAATGGCGAGGCTTATGCGCTGGGCGAAATAGCCGCCAGCTCTGCGGTCTCCAGTGGTCTCCACCAATCTTTTTGCGATTTCTTTGAAAAGATGGTGGGCACCGGAGCCCCAGGGTCCCTGAGTCTCGACTCCAAACGCCGCAAATGTGAGGTCTCCACTGAGGCAATCATACTTGCGGCGCTTAAGGGCCTCTGCGGTCGAAGCAGCCGCGCCAGCCTGCATCGAGGTTCCGGGAATATGAGACGGGGCCAGAGTGTCGACGCAGGTTGCGTCCCACACAAGTGCCCGTCCCAGCTTCCAAGGAACGAGTGTCATGCCGTCGGGCCTCTTACCGTCGTCGCGCGCCAGGCCGCTTGGTTCTAAAACGGCAGGCACGCTGGCGGAGGCGAGGGCCCTGCGGATGACATCGTTGATGCAGTGGTGGCGGGTTATACGGCCGGCACTCCTTGTGCAGGAGAGACCGTGATGGCCGAGGTTGGTGACAAACGCTCCGCACCGGCAAAGATGGGGGACGACACAGGGCGAGCCAAGGCGCAAGGACGTGGCTATGCGAAAAGTTGAGCGGTCTAGGAGCGTACCGATATTCGCGGAAGGCAGTACCTGCAGCCATAGTCCAGACTCCCACTCGCCAACGGCTAAGAGACGCGCACGGTCTGCGGGACTGCTAGCTGTTTCTACAAGCGCATTGCGTTTCAGCCTGCAGAGTGGCGCGTCTCAAAGTCGCTGGGAGGCAGGGTCCGTCGGGACGTCGGTGTCAGGGCATGCTGCACTCCAGGTTGCTACGGCTTCATCTAGAAGCGAGAACAAGGACACGCTCAAAGGACGCCCAAGTATTTTCGCAACGAGTGGTTCGGTAGAGTGTATGGAAGAAATGAAGGCAGGGAGGGAGACGTCCGAAGTGTTGCGTACACCCAAACCACCGAACCTAACTGGGAGTGATGCTTGGGTCCAGGAACGGAGGTCAAATTTTATATTTAAGACAGAGGAGAGAGTATGTCTTATGACACCGTCCAACTTTGTTAAGAGAGAGGGAAATTTCCAAAGTGGACAACATCGCAAGACATACGTAAATTTAGGGACGAAAAGACAGTACCGGATTATGACATAGGCCATTTGGCAGTTAATTTTGAGTAAAGGTTCAAAAACTTCTTCATATTTTTTTAAATTTTGATCTATATAATTCTTAATTTAGTAGTTTAGTACTCGTTAGTTTGTTTCGATGGAGCTATCATGTCATCGGACAAAAGCTCCTAAACAAAAAAAGATAAAAAAAACACCCTCAATGTTACCTAGCCTAATATTAAATTTATAGCGTAAAATTGAATTCCATATTTTCAATGTGAAAACACAAATACATATTTTCAACTCAAACCAAGATCTATCATGCGACTTTGACGGAATATATGTTTGTCGAATGTCTTCATAATTTTCTATATAAATAATCTCCATGCTGTTAAATAAAGAGATTATAGTAACATAGATAGGACAACGACTCTGAACCCACGAGCATATGGAATTAAAGTATTACGAAGGTAAAACGTAAAATAATATTACAAAATCTTTTGATATCATGTTACTTGTCTTCTTCCAAGATGTAAAAAAAACATAAAATTTGAATTTCACTTTAAGTATATTTTTCTTAAATGCCGCTCTAACTGAAAGCAACCAAGGAGAGGCTTAAATTATAATTACCGCTTACATAGATAATAATAAGCAACTAAAATCCAAACTGCCTTATTCCAAAATGCGGACTACAGTTAGTCTTGGTTTAATCCTAATGTTATCTCTGTATTTTTAGCAAAGAAAAGTGATACAGCATCAGTTTTAGTCCAGGTTTATCGTTTTGTAATTGGGCGGTTGGAGTTTGTCTTATCAAAAAAGTCGTAATACTCACCTCTGATATTTCAGTGTAAATAAGGCCGTGCTCATCTTCGTACGTTAAGTTGATATTTGCCACCGTGAAGGTATCGAAGCGTTGCTCTTCCGCGGGTCCGTACCTCACGGACTCCAGTTCACTGCCCGGCGCATGGCACCCCACCAGCGCAAACCATCCCAGAGCAGCCAAGCTGCACCACAATTCCTCCGATCGCATTTTCAACACTAACACAAAAATGTTATACCACTTCTAAACAATGTAAGCGTGCACAGTTCAAAACACACTTTAACGGCACCAATGTTTCTAAACATTAATATCAGCTGTGGCACACTCGTCGACTCGCCCGTCCCGAACCGGCGCTGCCCGTCAACTATCGCTATCGGTTAACGAAAACAAACGCAACGGATTTAGTTAACAATGCGATAATAAACGTTATCGTTTGCGACGCTTCACATCTATTTGCACAACACTAGAAACTGAGACGCAACGATGGCGAATTCGTTTATCTTTTTCTTTTTGTATTGTTCTAATTTTCTGTGCCAGTTCCTTTTTTGAATGGTCGCTGGGAAGTTTTCGTCATGACGTCATACGCACAGCCTCCCTTTCTTGATTCTGTTTGGGTTTTATGTTTTGTTGATAGTCCACTGCCGCCCCATAACCGTCAAGGAATCTTGCTGCAGCAGGCAACTGAAACAATGAAAGGTGACGTCAGCGTTTGCAGAGTATGTAATAGGTACAGTCACGTAGGCAATCAGCGCCTCCGATATGGTCGGTACATACGCACTTGATTGCATTACAAGTTTACATCACCTTATACATAATGTTATGATTCGATTATGTGTATAATTATTTGCTGTTATGCGTATCCGGATATATTATTGCTTTTTAATATAAATGTTGAGAAATAATGGACAAGATTAAATTGTTGCCTTTATTACTGAAATGCTACTTTAAAACTTTATAGATATTTGTGTCAATATCAACTGTATCTCAATAACCTGGTTTAGAAAGTCTGAATATATATATTGAGCAATGTGACGGGGACATAAGAAAAATTTGGAGTTCTGTGAATAAGTGGCTGGGTAAGTCAACTTTAAGTATAGACGCGATAGTAAAAAAGTATTTACTAAAGGAAAACCAAACAATGTTAGAAATATGTGAAAATTTTTGTAATGTTTTCACTTACGAAATTGTAGTACTAAAACAAAATCATAAATGTAACAATCTTTTTTTCGATAGGCAATCTTACATTAGAGAAAGTGTTGTTAGCTTTAGGTTTATGTACGCAACTGCACAAGATGTTTACAAAATTATAAGCCAGTTGAATTGCAGCAAGGCCCCTGGTTCAGATGGTATCAGAGTCAAGGACTTAAAATATATTAAAAAGGAGTTAAGTGGAGTCATTGCATATTTTATTAATAATTGTATTAAAAAAGCAGTATACCCGACAGAATTAAAAGTAGCTATAATCAGACCAATTTTTAAACAAAATCATAAGGAATATTCAAATTATAGGCCCATTGCAATATTAAATACAATAAATAAAATCTTTGAGAAATTATTAGTAAAGCAAATTTCGGATTTTTTAGAAAATAAGAATATTTTAACAGACACACAACATGGATTTAGGCCTAATAAGAGTACGACAACAGTTTTACAAAAAAAATCTGATGATATTAACTGTGCATTAGATAGAAAGGAAATTGTCATTGTTGTTTTTATAGACTTCAGGAAAGCCTTTGATACCCTAGACCATGGGGGTTTGCTGCAGGCAATGGACGAGTGTGGCATCAGAGGCCCAGTTAAAAAATGGTTTAAAATTTACCTCCAGAGCAGGCAGTTGAGAGTTAGAATAAATGGAATTGATAGCGTGAAAGGTGAAAATTAAATATGGTGTCCCAACTGGATCAGTTTTTGGGCTAATAGGCTACATTATGCACGTCAACAGTATGGTTAACCTGATAAAATACTGTAAAACATACAGCTATGCTGATGACACTTGTCTAATGTACAGCGGTTACGATTGTGATAGAATACAATCGATAGTGCAATATGATCTTGATAATGTTTTTAAATGGGCGCATGATAACAGCTTGATCATTAATGTAAAAAAAACTAAATCCATGCTTATTACATCTCCATATAATAAGGTTGCGAAAAATTTCGATGTAAAATTAATAGGTCACTCCTATTATTGCCTACATAAGACCAGTGCTAATTGCCAGTGTCAAATAATTGAGTGTGTTCCCTCTTTCAAATACCTTGGCTTGATAATAGACAGTCGCTTGGGATTTGCATATTGTGTGTAAAGTGTTTGTAAAAAGCTAAGAACAATACTAGGTAAATTATACAACTTAAAACATGCTGTAAGTAGCAAAGTATCATATATGTTATGTTATGCCCTTGCGGATGCAATTATAAACTATGGCTTGGGTTCTTATGGACTTACGTTCCCAGTGTATTTAAATAAAATTAAAGATTTGCAGTTGAGGTTATTAAAGACACTTATAAATAAAAAGGAAAAGGATTTATTAAAGGGTGAATATAATAAGCTATTTAAAATGTGCAAAATTGTCCCAGTAATTCTACTGGGATAAAGTAAAAATGATAATTATACTTGAACAATACGTATTTGGAGAAAATAAAATAGAAAATGTCCATAGGAACCCAACCCGTCAGGTAGCTTGTAAATATAAAGTACCAACATACACTAATTATTACGGTAAACGTATGAGAAAATGGCTTACTCCAAACTTTTTAAATCAACTACCAGAAAACATCCTCAATAAATGTTTAAAAGAAACAACAAAACATCAGCTAAAAACCTTGCATTGTGTCCGTAGCTTGTACAGGTGTGTATTTCTGTGTGTATGTACGCGTGTGTGTGTGATTAGAAGTATGAAAGCAAAAAAAAAAATTTTTTTTTTTAAAGTTTTAGTACAGCTCTGAACTTTCTACCAAACCTTTCTATTTTTTGTAGTATTTAAAATGAATTCGGACGTATTATTAATTTTTATAAAGTGGCACAGGTAAAATTATAAATTTTATAAAGTCGTGAAGACAAGCTAACATATAATAATATAATATTACGTAGTAAACATTTGAGCAGAATCTAAAAGATTTCAGTACCACTTCAAAATTATTTTTTCATCAGTCTCTTGGGTTAAAACTTTTGGATTCCCATTTATATTATATTACAATAATTTAATATTTTATTTTACTATATACCGATTAACATAACTTGCACTTGTGTCAATATAATAAAACATTAAAGTGTTTTTCCATAATTTTACCGGTCCAATTGGAGCGCCCGTCTGCGGAAGAGTGAATTGCTTAAATAAATTCCATTCTCTTCACAGAAGATCAAAGTAATATAACACTACCTTTCAGTGATGCGTGAATAGATTACAAATTTAAAGGGTTATATGGGAACGGGGATGGATTCACGCAAACAAGATAAACGCGGTTATTTATCACCAGCCTATTAACGTCCCCACTGCTGGGGCACAGGTCTTCCCTATGAATGGAATAGCACGATTAGGTCATACCACACTCACCACGCGAGATTATTGCGGATTGGTGAGTGCTAACGGTTGCAGATGCAGCTGGGACATAACGTGCCTTCCGAAGCACGGAGGAGTTCGAGATAGTAAGTTTTGGGCACCCATTCTATGACAGGGCATTGCGAAAGTTGCTGGACTTAAACGATGGTTGCACACGCTTTCCACATGCGCCTTTGATGTCCTCTGTGGGTGGTTATTGGAGCGAAATTTTTCTTTCACTTAACATTTATTTATTTATTTATACATCAGGTGGATTGATTGAGGTAATTTGCTGCGCCGTCTGCTAAAACATACATCACTCCAAATAAAATTTAGAGTGAGCCTAGAAGGTCGTACAATCTCTTATCTATTAGACAAGTCCGTCCGTCCGTCTGTTGTGCTGTTTCAGCGGCCAAACCGTAAGAGATAGATAAAGAGAATATTTAAGTTATAAGTTAAGAATAGTCTGATAAGACTACAAACCGGATTTGAGTAACGTAGCACTTCCGGCTTTCGAGAAATCAGGTTTTGGTGAACATTTGGTTGACTGGTTTGCTAGTAATTCTATAATTGTAGAAAACACATTTTGATCAAAACAAAGACATGTCTGTCTGTTGTTGTTTGAGCAATCACCAACAATATTTCTTTAATCTTTTGACTTATCGGAATATTTTTTATATCCAACAGCTGTATAAATAAATTTAGTAATCTTATCTAATCGAACAATCGGGAATTCAACCACACTCCACCCAACCTTTTGATATGGACGTAGAAGATGAGCGAATAGACACTGTGACACATCGGAAAACTGTGGTAAATACAGCGTAGGTCACATTTTTTTATTATTTGTAAATAAAAATACTTCGGTGATGTAAACTTAATCAATAATAAAAAAAATATTGAAGACATATTGTATAAAACCAATTTCTGTAGATTTCGAAGGATATGAAAAAAGTAGAAATTCGAGCGAACTATAATCCGCCTTTTGTACCATTATTATATATTTTGGTCAATAAAGTTTAAAATATACAATACAAATAACAATAAACATAAATCACGTCTCTTTTTTATTATATATTGTTGTTCTACAGAACACCGCCCATTTCAGATGTCTACCTATACCTGTTCAATACATAGAGCCCTATTACAGACAGTAAGACAGCGGAAGCATTTTAATAGGTTACGTTTGTCGACCCAAAGTGGTATGGAAGCAATATGGAACCCTAAAAAATCCGGACAAATGCGAGTCGGTATCACCCACCGAGGGTTCCGTACAAATTTGTAGGTACGCTACACGGCCGTATCTTTTTTAACGTTAACTTAGAAGTGTGATTTTTCACAGCTTTAAAGGATCGCAGATTTGAGTAAGTATAAAGTTTATATTTAAACTTTACAGACAGACAGACGGATGGACAAACGGACAACAAAGTGATCCTATAAGGTTTCTGTTTTTTTCCTTTTGAGGCACGAAACCCTGAAAGCTGACGTGCAATGATTGCTGAATGGTGAAGGATCATGTATGAAGTGCAGCAAGCAAAGATCGAACCGGGAAGTGATAAAGATACATAATTAACCTTAGATTTCAGGACAAAAGGCTGCGGCTGCGGGAGCGCACGGAACATGCAATGCGTGACACCACAGCAAATACGAAGTCAAAAGCGACGACAAATTCGCGTCAGTACACCACAACGCATCGTCTTGTGAATACGTCCTGTGAATATTAAGTTTTTTATCACTTCATCACTGTGCCGCCTTGTTCAGACTTCGTCAAAACTGTTGATAATGACAAAAGAAGCATTTACTTTTGACTTCGTATTTGCTTTGGTGGCACGCATTGCTTGTACAACGCACTCCATCTGCCTTTTGTTCTGTAATCTAAGTAAGTAACTATCTAACTTTTTAACTGTCTTTCCGATGAATGACATTTGAAGGGATGGCAGATGGCAAAATTGGCAAAAGTGAAAAAGTTACACAATTCAGCTCCAGGTTGTCACTGCCTTCCCCTTAGGGAAACAAGTATGACCTTCATGTGCGGGGAAATGTATGACATGTCCCTAGTCGGTAAACTGACTTACTTATACCTACTAACCACATATTGGGCCCAATTTTGGCGTGATTCTCTAAACTTAAAACTAAATTTAACAT